AAGTCATTTGAAAAAATTATAAGCAAACACTCTAAATACAGAATCACAATCTTAAGGTAATATCTCCATGAAAGTACAAGAAGTACCTCAAAAGAGTTTTAGATTATCACACAGTGAAAAACGCACGTTGATCTCTCAAAAATCTCTCAAAAGAATGCTAACAACTTTTCCCAAAATCATATATGGAAAGGTGAACTCAAAACTGTTTATATAAGAAAAATTGATAGATTTAATCGATTAATTCATGTTTTTAATTTATTAAAGTAATGATTTAAAACCTCCTGAAATCTTTCAATAAGTTATTTTAACTGATAAAAACACTTTTAATTGATTAAAACAGAACAAACAAAAATTATTCTATGTGTAGAAAGTCATTTTAATTAATGAAAAACAAGTTTAATCGATTAAAGTAATGAGACATTTTCTCAAATGTTCTAGTTGTAATTTTTAACCGATGAAACCTTCAAATAATCGATTAAAACAACAAAAACATATTTTTCACTAAGTTATACGATCATTTTAATTGATAATAGGTTGATTTAATCGATTAAAGCTACGAATCACATTTTTTAAAAAGTTATCAAGAACATTTTAACTGATAAAAATAGTGGTTTAATTGATTAAAACTTTGACACACAATGATGTTCAAGTATTTAAGTGAAATTAATCGATTATTTTGAACTTTTATTAATTAAAAAATTAATCCTAAAAACATTTTAATAGATTAAACTCATTTTTCATAAATTAAAATAGTTTTAAAACAGTTTTTAGTAAGGATTCAGACATTCCTACTATCTTAAATCAAGATTAACTTATAGAAAGGATTAAAGCATAATACCTCTATACAAAACTTATACACACACAATGACCATAACCCTTTTGTCTTCATCAAATTCTACCGCTCAACTTGGACTTCATCAAATCCAACATGTTTTTCAACAAACCTAGTTATCTTAGCTTGATTAGATTCATTATTAAACCTAGTCTTAAGCAAGAGGGATTATAGTAACTTATAATCACCATCCACACATAAATTTCCTTAATGAAGTTGTTAGAGCTTGAAAATGAGCTATTTTCTCTAGTAGGAGGGAACAAATCTAGCGTACATTAAATGTTTAATGTCCATCCAAGAGGTCATGAGTAACTCTTGGTTTAAGTGCATACAAATCTTATGCCACCATGTCATGGCATAACCCTCAAACTCTACAACTATTACATCGACTTGTTGTTACCCCTCAAGAGGGGTCACATTCAATATTTGTCCTATACTTTGGCTTCCCACTCTAAGACAAACATTCAGGTTGTTGTCTCCATAGTAGAACTTAAGGATTTTGATGTGAGGGTTAATGGACTTCTTAGGTGGAGTGTTGCGCCTGACCCTTCTTCCTCCATAGTATCCCTAGTCATTTTTCTCTCCTTGGAACTTTGTGGAGATATGTACCTTCTTCTTTCCCTTTCAGCCTTCTATTGTTCCAATATTTTAATAGTCTCTCTTAGGTGTCTCTCATTTTCCTTTTTTTGAGACTCCATCTCCCTAAGGAGTTCTACCAAGGAAACCTCGGCCTGACCTTTCATTTGACCTTCATTGGACTCTTCCAACTTACTTGTCTTTTTGGATGATGAGTTAGACATGTTTATCGATAAACATAAGTTATAAGAAACAAAAGAAACAAACTCGAAAAAGTTAGAAAAACAAATAACACAAACTCCAAGTGTTTGGTTTCTCACACAAAACTTAAGGGTATGGTTCACTCAAACTTTTCACTTGTGTTTCAGGAGTTCAAACCTCTTAAAGCATAAGAAATTCTATGAGTCCTCAAACAAATGAAAAATGTACAACATGTTCTCCACTAGAATACAAGAAAAACATGACCAAAGACAAAATTTAAAGATTTTCTAAGACAAGCAAGAAAAGTTCCAAACCAAGAAATAAATACAACTAAGAAAGAAATGTTGACAAAACTAAGATTAAGACAAAGAGAAAAACTTGAAAGAAGACTCTATAGAAACATTGAAAACATGCAAATAAAATCTAAGTTTAAGTACACATACCAAGAAGATAAGGAGCCTACAATTAATGGAATTAATTTCCCACAATCATGCAATTATGCAACTTAGCACTTCCTTTTGAAAATTATTTCAATCAAATTTGTTTCTAGCAAAATCTACCAGCCTCAAGGTTCCAATGTTCAAATTTTGACATATTATTTTATTATTATTATTATTTTATACTTAAATACCCAATTGATAAGGATGCAATAGATTAAGGATCACTTAAATCCTATGTTTAAATTCAACCAATCAATTCAAGTTACATGCAATTTTGAACTATTCATTTTATCAAACATGTTAAGTGTTGGATAAAAGAAAAGAAAACTCTAAGGACTATATGGCATATGACTCAATCAAAGAGAAGGTATCACAAAAAAGTCTCTTAAACTTTTCAAGAAAAGATTTTACACAAGTAATTATCATACAATTTTTAATGCAATAATTCAAGCCAATTTAACCAAACTAAGCACATGCCATAATCTATTCAAGAGAGGTTACGATTTGAATGGAACTAGGTAAAAGAAAACCAACCTTTGGAACACCATAAAGGGAAATAACTACCAATGCAAAACAAGATTAGGAAATAAAGGCAAACACCTTTTAAGCATTAGTTAACCATAGCTCAAGGTTGATTTTAATATTTAGAAATTAAGGTGTTTGTGATTACTTAAAAGATAGGAAAACCCAAAAGTTCCACTAGACATGAAGATAATCCCAAAGGTTATCTAAGTGTGAAGGTTCCTAGCTTATGGATTCAAAAGGAGGTAAGATTGAAGTAAAAGTAAAAAAAAATGGACAACAATGGAGGAAAAGATTAAAGAAAGTAGGATAGGAAATGAGTGTTATCACGACACTTCATGAGTAAAATCTACCAAGATAAGTGAGGAAGATGTCGCCACTTGAGTGGATTCAATATAAGACACCCAAAGAAAAATGATCTTCCTAAGCACAAGACTCACGAAAATTCTCTATCAATGTATGTATATTCCAACTAAAAACAAGGGGAGGAGAGGTCTTCTTTTAGAGGTATGGGTTAGGGACGTAAGGGAAATTACATTAAAAAAGATCCTAAACATATTTGATCCTAGATGCTCCTTCTAAAAACTAAGTCATAAAAAGGGCAACACCCTTGCCTTGGAGACCAAGGAGCACGACCTCCTACCTCTGTTAGGTCAAAGGTGACTTAATTTTGACTTTATGGGGTCATCCCAAGGTAAAGAACCAAGAGTCCAATGCCCATTCCCTCCAAAAAAGATGGTAACATGAGACAAAGGGTGTCCAAGAGCATTCCAAGTCTGATGCTATGGGTTCTAAGCTTCTATCCTTAGAAAAAGGTCTCAATATAAAAAAGAAAGTGTCCAATAACAAATCTACCTAACAAAAGAAATAACATGTCTAGAAATATTATTTTTTTGTTAAATAAACTAATGATAAAGATAATCAAGATTTAATTTGATATGTAAAAAATGAAAGAAATTTATTTTTATATTCATCACACACACACATATATATATATATATATATATATATATATATATATAATCAAGAAATAAATAATTTAGATTTAAATTTTATATGATAATAATATTATTAATAATTAATTTAAGTATTAAGTAAATGTGTATTAGTAGGTAATGAGAAATATATATATATATATATATATATATATATATATATATATATATATATATATTATTTTCTCAAATTCGAATAACAAGATAAATAAAAATTAATTTTTGTTAAACAGGCTTTTTTTAATATATTTTAAATTAGTATGGACGTTTATATATAATTAAATAAATGGTTATAATATATCGATTTTAGTCTATACAAAAACACAAATGTGCGATGCACCTAGCATTAATAAGGAACAAGTAACGAAGCCCAACACAAGCATGTGAGAAAAAAATATTTGATTTTTTAAAATTTTTTAAATTCTAATCAATTATTTTTTATTTTTATTTGTCACAGTTATTTTCTAAATCAATACATTTTCTTTCCCTCAAAGGAATAATGAAGCAGGACTTGGAAAACTTGAAGGGCTGGGCCAACAGCCCATCCCAATTTCGCATATTTAATATAGGCCCATCAATAATTCATTTGGTGTAAAAGACTATTCCGTTCTCGTGCTGTTTCCCTTCTCATACATTATATAACCTAACAAAGCCATACACAAACACTAAACACCGCCTCTTTCGTGAAGCAGAGTTTGCATTCGTTTCAGGTGCTGTTCTGTGTCCTCCACAAACCAAACCAGGTAATAAAAAATCCTTATTCTCGTGTTCTTTCTCTTTATATTAATTTCCATGTTCGCCTTGTCAAGATTAGTTTTTGTAAAGTTTGATTGAATATTATGGTTTCGGGTACTTGTTTTTTCTTTTCTTTTGTTGGTTTCAGTTACAATAATTCATATTCTAGTTCCTGAAGGAGTTATGCTCTAACCGTCATCAGTGTTTTTTTTTTCTTACATGTCATGTTTTCCTTCTAAACTATGGTGTCAGGATAATTTATTTGATCTAATTTTCCATCTGTAACCTATATGTTTAGTCTGATCAATTCTATATCGTCTTTGTCGAAGTTAAAATGCAGAATTTTGTGTAATTAAAAGAAATATGATAGGCAAAATTCAAAATATTGCATTGATTCTTGCTGTTGCTTTTAATTTGGTTGACGTGGGTAGTGAATTTCATGGAGTTCATTTGTCGTCCCAATATGCAAGATGTTATTCTAAACTTTGAAATTCAAATAGATTCTATTAATTTTAAAATATCCGAATCATTGGAATTTATTTAAATAAATTGTAAGATATGTTCTAAATATTACAATTCATTAAATATAAAACTTAATTGAATAACTAATTACCAATGAATTTTATTCCTAGCAGGTCCCGAGTAATACTGTGAAGTCCATATTGAAGTGTATAGCAAGGTGAAAGAAAGTACAAGAGAATGGCAAAGTCATTGAGATCAAAGAAGGAGAAGAGGCTGAGGGCAATTCGAAGGGAGATTGTTGAACCTTTCTATGACAAGAAAGAAGCTGCTAAGCTGGCTGCCCAAGAGGCTGCCCTTGCTGCACCAAAGTTGGAGGTTCCTTTGAAATCAAATACTGCGATGGATGTGACCGCTTCCACTAACAACACCAACATGGGTACCATATCACTTCTTTTACTTGTTTATGATGTTATACCTTCCCTCTGCTTTGTTTATGTGATATGTGCGGATTAATATGAATTTCCTGAGTAGTTCTAATTATATGTTGATTTTTTTAATAAAATGTTATTTGTATGTATGTCAAGATTGATTAGAGTGGAATTGATCTTATACTACTTGTTACTATGCTCTACATGAAGTAAGCCAAGAATTAAACCTGTGGACTCTGTTCTTCTTGCTGATTGGAACTGTGTTTTAAAGATGATGTTGCTTTATCCTGCTTAGCATTTTTTTTATCTTTCTGAGCACCAACCATATGCCTGTGAAAGCTGTGTTATGCAGTAAAATTATTTTGTTGAAAGAAAAATCCCAAATTCCTACTTACGTTATAGTTATTTCCTGGGATCTGATTACCTCGAAGTAAAAATCTGATATCCCCTATTTGCATTTAAATTTCCCAGATGTGGAGATGGGTGACGGCAGTGAAAGCACGGCTTCCTTAAAGCCTGTTGGTGGAATAGGGAAGAAATCCAAAAAGAAATTGAAAATTGCTAAAAAGAAGCGTCGTGGTAAGGGAATGCTCGGGAAAAAGCGTAAAATATGACTCCCAAGTAAATCATGGTAATGATATGTCATTTACTTCCAGCATGAATTCTTACATTATATCTTCCCACTGCACATTATATCCATTAGTTTCTTCTTTTGGAAATATAACAATCAAGATTTATTGTTGGAGACACGCTAGTTATTCAAATATCAAGTTTTTAGTTTTAAGAATGTTAAATTGATCTGTTTGTCTCTTATACATTGTAGGATTTTTAAATAGATTTCTATACTTAAAAAAGTTGTAAGTAGGTCCTAAATTTTTAACCAAAAGTAGATATAATATTCTTGATATCTGATAGTATTTAAAAGGGGCCTATTTGAAAATTTTCATTTAGTTCAGGAAACACCTTTTTAGTATTTTTTATTATGTTGGTTCTTTAACTATTGCGGAATATTAATATATCCTGTACTTTATCGGGGATTAGAATTTTCCACCCAACTTTGATGGAACCATAACCTGATGATCAAACAATTTTATAAAACAAATATTCTAATAAACATCTTGATCTTACAAGTCACTAATTCGGCATGTCACGGCATTTTGCTATACAATAGGTATGTAGCTGCCTATGAAGCATGGACGCTTGATTCGATAAAGATACGAGGATATGAAAAATTCTTATAAACTTAAGACATAATAATCTTGATATACAAGATAAAATCAAATGATATCAAGTGTCAAATTTGGTAAAGTGATGCTTTAGTAACTTTTGGCACAACCTCAAAAGTTATATTTGATTCATCCAACCAAAGTCTATGAAACTATATATATGAAGAGAGATGTTCTAAGTCACTCTAAGAACAATTGTAGAAAAGTAACCTCCATTCTCACTATTTCTTTTCTTGAAATCTAATGGCTATAAGAAGTAGTTAATTTTAACCATTAAATTTCAAGAAAAATGAACTCCAAGGATATGGAGTAACACTTTTGGAATTCCCATCGATAACAAAGAGATTGAGGAAGTTAAATGTTATTGTTTTTGGTGTTATAAAAGTATTTATAGGTATATAATGGGCTTTTTGTTTTAACTTTCTGAATCCATTATCCTAGATATTTTACCTAAAATATCAAAATAATAATGGTCTAGAAATATTAACTACCTAAGATATTTGCAAAATCACAATATTCTAACTAATATTTAAATGTAATATTTTATTTTACCCAACAACACTCGCATAAAATTAAATGCTTTTCTTCAACTGACAACGAACGGTCACAAGCTTTTTCCTACACTTTCCAACCCCAATATACTTCCACTCTCCTGGTTTCACCTTTGTACGCTTGTCTCTCAAAGTAAATTTATTCTTAAAAGAATACAATGATGAATAAGTTCGGATTGGGTTACTTCGGAATCTATTACTCGGACTTAGTTCGACCAAGTTCAACTTCAGATGGGAAAGAGTGAGATGACTCTATTGTTTCTTCCTCCTTCTCAGTTTCCAAAATGGTTATAACTAGTGGTGATGTAGTTCAATTTCTTCTAACATCCTCCATTGAGTCTCCTTCTCCTTAATTCCACTCACTTGTTTCATTAACTTGGACATCACGATCAAAACCATGCTTATCATCATGAATTAACTTGGTTAAACCACAAAAAATGTGGTGACCAAATTGATGATCTCTTTTTAACGTGTTCTTTACATTTAGTTTGACATCTCTCCCAAATATTTATCAATTGCAACTTGTACATTCTATTCTTCTTGAACTCAATCTTTCATGAATACGAGTATCTCTCTCCATCAACTGTTCCTAACTCAAAATACTTACTATTTAGATCTAGAACATAGTACACATCTTGAATTGACTCGATTAGGTCATTCTTATGTAAGAAGCGGATCATATCTTGGCTTTTTATTGAGTTCTTTGAAGCATCTCCAAAAGACACATGATCACCTTCAATTTTCTCCAATTTGCTAAATAGGAACTTGTCTCCTCCACACATATGGTTACTTACACCAATATCCAGATACCATACTGAGTTATGATTAATATCTTTCTGAACTCCATTGCTTCTATTTTTCGAGTTAAGACTAGACATCAAAACTATTGCTTTTGCCTTCTTTGTAAGATAGGTCTCTTCCACTTTATTTTTATTTTTTTTTCCTTTTAGCTTAGTATTTTTTTGCAAAATGTCCTATCTTACTACAATTGTAACACTTATATGTGTAACAATCCTTTATATAGTGACCATATTTGCCACATTTAAAACATCCTCTACCACATTAGTTTTGTTGGTTTTGTTCTTTCTCCTCTGCCACCTCGACCATTACATCATCATCCTCTATCTCAAGTGTTTTAGAGTAAAGAGCTCTCTCACATGTCTCACTCTGGAGCATTTGAATCATTGTCCATCTTTTTCTCCTTACTGTGCTCATAGGCATCAAGAGAACCAACCAACTCTTGTACCAGTAGCTCGAGTGGGTCATTTGATTGCTTTATCACACACACTACATTCTCAAAGTTATCAGTTAACGACCTCAAGATCTTTTCCACAATACGATCTTTTGAAAATGTTGCTCCATTCGGTTTAAGCTGATTCATCATGGTTTCAATATGCGTTATGTATTCGGAAACTCCTTTCGACTCTTTCATTCTCATGCTCTCCATCTTGTCACAGTGTTTGTACCGAACTCGTTTGACTTGACCCATCATCCTTCTATACTCTCTCCAAGCATCTTATGTTTCTTTTGAGGTTTTAGCACTTGTTATCTTCTTAAAGATGGATTCATCAATAGCTTGGTATAACATGTACAAGGCGGTGTTATCCTTCTCACGCTTCTATGTCAACGTTTTGTTTGCAGCTATTGGAATTCTTTTTGTGTTTTCTGGTTCTTTAGAACTATCATTGACTATCTCCCAATTACTTTGGGATCTCGGAAGGGCCTTTATCTGGAGATATCAATTATCGTTTTTGACTACTTTTGTTAATCGGGACAGGCTCACATGCTTTGCTAGATTGACCATCACTCTCTTCAAGTTCTCTCATATTCAAACCCTAGCTTTGATCCTAATTTGATAACAAAAAAATTGAAAAAGTTAAATGTTATTGTTTTTTGTGTTCTGAAAAATGATACTCAAACCCTAGATTTGATACTAATTTGATAACAAAAAGATAGAAGAAGTTAAATGTTATTGTTTTCTGTGTTGTGAAAAATGAATGAAACAATTGAGTATCTATAGGTTCAGTTGAACTTTTTATTTTTACTTCCCAGATTCATAATTCCATATATTTTGCACAAAATATCAAAATAATAATAATAAGTGTCTAGATTTGTAATATTAAGTATCTAAAATATCTACAAAATCAAAATATTCCAATTAATATTTAAACCTAATATTTTATTTTTCTCAAAGCCAATAACTTTATCCCTCCTCGTCATATATATTTTATAATATAATAAAATTTTATCATTTAGATAATATAACAAATTTCAAAATTAGTTTTGTCAGTGTAGATGATTGGGGCTGCATTACATTATCAGTTATGAACATATCTTGCATTGACCAGCATAACTCTTCAAGATGCATGCATGTTTTCCACGAGCTTTGTGGATAGTATATTTGGCTTAATACATTGATTTTGCTTTTGTAGGTTGTATTGAAGCCGGTTAAGAGCTCCTGGGCTTTTATCTTGATTCAGGAATAGTTTTCAAATTTTGATAAAGTAGAATGAAAACCATTGAAATTATAATTATTAGCCGAGAACCTGCTATTAACTACGCTTGCATATCGAGCTACAGCATAATTTTGTTTTGGAGAAGTGGTGGATGTTGATAATTTGTGCTGAACATGAAGGATTTATAGGGTTTTTAATTCTGCACTATGTACTTGAATGTAAACTTCTAATAGGGCTAGTTTCTTTTTTACCATTTTAGTTTTTTCAGTCTTTCGTTTCTTTATCAAAATGGCCTCGAAAAACCTGCCGGTCGTTTGAATTCCTATCTGGAAGTTACTTTTAAATTGTCTCGGAAATAGAAAATTTTGTTAAATATATAGGTCTAATTGTATATGTTGCCATTATTTATTTTTTCCATTTTTAACATTATTTATCATTAAAATTTTAGTCTTTTAATGAATTTTATCATTAAATTTTAAATTTCGAAAATTTTGTCATCCCTATTCTTAAATTATAATTGTTATCTTTTTAATCAATTAACTGATTACAACTAGTGTTTTGACCTCACATTGAGGTGATTACGGTCTCGAGTTGAATTAAAAGAATTCAGATTTTAAATTACATTTTTTCTGATTTAATTTTTGCACTTTAATTAATATTTTTTAATTTTAATTTTATAAATTTTTTATTATTGAATTTCACTAAGTGTTTAAGTTTTGTAAATTTTATCATTTGAATTTAAATTTTATCATTTTAAATTTATACGGATTTTTTTCTTCTTAAACTTGCATTTTTATGGGTAGATAACTTTAATCTTTCAGTTTTCAAAAACATATAATTTTTATTTTTTATACTTAAATTTAATTTATTAATAATTTTATAAGGGAACCGAATTCACAAAAATATTTGTAAAATAAAAGTACTTTTATCAGCTGTGTTTTTTCTAAAGTTTCAAATTCTCGTTAATATCATTTCTTTCTAATTTTTAATGTACATATATTTCTAGATAATAAAGATAGAATTTCTTTTTAAATCAATTAATCGTTGAAAAACACTAAAATAAAAAAATAAATATTCAAAAAATAAAACATTTTACATTTTTATACTTTTAATTCCAATCAATATTCATAATAATAAAAAAAAACGTTACATGTTTAAACTAGGATAATATAGAAAATATTATATTCTGTCCGAAACTTAAACACGGCAAAAAATGAAAAGATAATTTTTATTTAATAATTAACTTAAATAATGGAATAAAACTCCCTCTAAAAAAATTTAATAAAAAAAAAATCAAAAGTATACTCCATTTATTTACTATAAATAACATGTTTCATAGTTTTTCTTCAACATTATTTTACTGTTAGTTTAATTTATTTTT